CACTGAAGGACCGCAGAATGAAAATGGGACAGTATAGAGTGCAATGAGGAGTTCTTGTCAGGAGACACACAAAAAATGGAAGGAGACCCCGTGGAACTGGGTGCGAAGCTGAAGAGGGGGGCATGCAGCAATTTCGCCCTATATCTGCCGTAGTGAATCTTCCAACTGTTGGTACAGACATCATCCGGCGGAGGATGTAAACCCAACGCAAAGCCAAAATGAACAACCCAACAATGACGATCACCCACCCAACGCATAGAAGATAGCGAAACGTCAGACGTGGCAGAAAGTACACGATCAAGAGGAGGATGCGGTACAGCAGGAAATCCTCTGACCGACCATTTCTGAATAGCAGTGGTCACACTAGGAGAAGGAGCGCCGTCGGCATACAGGGAGATGTTGACAGATTCCCAAAAAGTAAGCCAAGGATAAAGACTATAGGCGGTCCAATGATTGAAGAAGTTTAAGACACAAGCTGAGTAAAGATTAAAAGAGACAGAATGTGAATACGGAAAGAACATACTAGAGTGAAATGATAGAATCGAAGCGACAGGTGAATGTATAGTCGCCATCAGCTGAACAGGGCGGCTGCCGTCGGAAGCAGAGAAAGACCAAACTTGGACTATCTCGGCGGAGTCGTAAGAGGGCGAGGAAGAGCGAGATGAAGTAGTAGATGAAGAAGGAGAAGAAGGAGAGCGTGTTAAGATGCAGGAATAATCTGAAGAAAAGGGCGCATGCTGCTTGGATGTAGGCCGGAAGAGAAAACCGTGTTCCTCAAGCCAGGAACCCACAATTCCACACCAAGTTAGGGCGCAAAACAGATCCAAATTGGAGTCGTAAACATCTCGAGAAAAGAATTTCGAAGCAACTGAGCCGCCGACAATGCAACCTGACAAAGACTGGAGGACAGTCAGCACAGAAGGCGAACCCTCCTGCCCATATTCTTAGGAAAAAAAGGGAGACACGAACGAGCAATTCAAGGAAAGAGGGAACATCGGAGAGCGCAAAGAAATCAACCAAAACGTTTTCCAGTTTAAAAGCATGCAGACGGAAAGCGCGGACCTCCGCATGGCATGTAACAGAGACCATCGACAAGGAACACAGGTCAGGAAAAGAGAGGAGGCTCAGAAGAGGGTCAGGCGGGATTGAGGTACTAAAGATAGGAACATAAGATATATATAATAAGAGAAAAAGTAATCATCAAAACACACATAACCGACTCAAGCAATGAGGGGGGCGCCGCGATTTGAGGAAAAGGCGAAGCAGCAAGAGGAGAAGGAGGAGCTTGAACAGACATACGCCGAGAGAGACAAAAAAAAAGACAACGTCGAAAACTGATAAGAATGGGACAAGATAGGGGAGTGGGGGAAGGGGCGTTAAAGGAAAGAGGAAAGCAGGAGGGAGAACATTTATAGAGAGAAATTTGCAAATTAAAAGATAGAAAAAAAACGTAAACAGAAGCAGACGAGACGTAGCGGAGTATAAACGTCAAAAGAGAAGGCAAACGTCACGACGGAAGACATCAAACGCGACAGTGCGATTGACGAGAACACAAGAAGTGAATGCATAAGTATGATTGAAGAATCATAAAGAAGGGAGAGACGACATGGTAGAGCAGAAGGTCACGCAAGTCACAAAAGTAACAAATGAGTGACATGTCCGTATATGGGGAAAAAAGTCGATATAACGGGGACTGTGGGAGAAAAAATCAAACTGCCCATAAGGACGATTCCTTCATTTCATTCCAGACTCGTAATTATCAGCCTGTTTCGCAAATACTTAGAACTGAGTATTTACATATATTTCTAGGCTATCTATCCAGCAATCCTTATTTTTCTCAATGCTGCACACAAATCCGTGTATAATTCAATCCAGTCATACAATGATTTACCTTTACAGTCTTCAAAATCTGGATGGCAATTACCCACATTTTCACCCAAAAGAGAAGCGTTTGCTAGCCAGACCATCTCACATCAAAACTCAGACATAGAAATTCGCTAGTTGATTTTCTAGTATGCATAATGTGGCTGCTCATATGATAACCTTGCCGGCTGCGCTGGCTTAAATAAATGTGTAGTATCCCTTGAGAGCATCCGAAGTTACAAATTTCGAAATTTTTATATTCTGACACAGGCTCTAACTAAGCTTCCAAAGTTATTTATATATAGTCAATCAGATGAGGACGGCAAAGTATCTAATGCAGTTTCAAAGAACTGTACTCCAATCTTCGAAGATTCACAATATTCAACAGGCAATAAACGGTCCGGCGTTGCCCTCGGCGCCCGACGAATCACGTGACTCCACCCAAACTTGACCAGTGACCACGTCCTGGTACCTACCACCTCGAAGAGAGCCTACCTTTCACTGTTTCAGTTCTACCTGAGTATGAACCGACAACCGAATACGCACTTAACCAGTGGCGTGAACGAGATGTACTCAGAGTTGCCTTTGGGCGAGTTGAGGAGTGGGTGGTAGCTCAACTCAGCCGAATGTGGGTAATCAGAGCGTTGAGTGGCAGTCGTTGGCAAGATTCTTAAAGGGTATGTCCCTCCTTTTACCTTTTTTTCGTCACTGTCTCTGCCATAGTTTAGTGACTCTTCCTTCAATGAATAGAAGTCCCAGAGCATGGCATTGGGAAAGAGAATACCTGTCTTCTTGCCATGTCGCTTTTTTAACACTCTGGCTCGGGCGCGGAGCCCGACGAGGGCGAAAGTAAAGCAGACATTTTGATATCGACACCTACAACCTCCAATGCCACCTCCAATGCCACCTCCAATGCCACCATACCTCTGTCGTTCCTCAATCGAGTTTGCAACGGCTTACCCGTGCAGGTATATTCGGCCGTCGCGGTGTTTTCGATGCATACAACAACTCTTTATCTCTTCTCCTCGTTTTCCCTGACACCCTCGGAATCGCCATCTTTTCTTTATGAACTCCTCCGACGCTTTCAGCGCAGTCTTGGAACTCCCTTTGGACAACGTCCAATTGACCTTCCGGTGGCCTTTCGCTGGCGCTGTCCACTGATATTTTCTCATGCGCGCGCGAGGCCGATTACGCACCTTCAACACCTGCGAATTCCTCCTGTTGGGGAATTCATGCCTAGGAAGTCATTACTTTGCTCTGGAGCATCTTATCGCGTCTGTTATGGGCGATGATAAAGTATTCGTCCAAGCTCTGATCCCAGCCTCCGGAACGCACGCATGCCGTTGGGCTTGCCACACCATACCCGTCCCTAACAGAAGCCCACACGGACGTATGAGTGCCCATGGTACCGCGAGCATTATTTGCGCCTTTTTCTCGTACCCGAACTTAGGTCAAACTCAGCTGAATATGGATATACAGAGTGTTATGGGGTAGCTGCTGTCAAGATTTCAGAAAGGTAGGTCTTTCGTGTTTTTTCCCTCATTGACTGTGCCGCGATTTACTTATCCATTTTTGTCTCCGTTTTTGATCGCCAGAAAATCTGGAGAATGCTACCGGGATATAGAACTCAAACAAGTTTGCGACGGGGTGCTTGTGCAGGGATAGCCAGCCGTCGCGATCGCGCTTTCGACACTTACGTCGAGCATCTTAATGTTGTCCGTCCTCCCCTTCTCCCGCGCCCTGAAAATCATCGTCTCTACCTTTTACCAATACATTCGACCCATTCTTTGCGGTCGACGAATCGTCTTCGGATGCATCGTCAAATCGTAGCTCAATCTTCACTCCTAGCTATCTACCGCCAGGATGTAGCAGGGATTCAGCTAATGAAGAACTCATCTAATCTGGATAGTCGAGCTGATGTCGTTTCTCGCTCGGTCATCTATTTTCTGCCAGCTTCTCAAAATACACTCCAGCGCTCGGCCTGCACACCGTACTCGTTCGAATGTAAAATGAACACGTTCAGGCTCGAATTAGACCTGAAGCAGGACCCCATTCTGGCGTACGGAGCGTTCCCTTCCTCTGGCTCTCTATGGATGGGCACGAGCAAGGTTGACAGCAAACCCCCCGATCCCAGGACGACGGAAACTCGATGTGAACATAGAAGCGAACGGTCGCGGTTTTTTCCGACCTACTTGCTCTAGCATGACTCATCTCCTAAGTTACGCCTCTTACTCGGCAGCCCCTTCATGATCTGCATCCCCTATCATGGCAGTCGACTGTTGGCGCTTCCTGTTTCAAGCACCTCGAGTGGGACGGCAAGTGAGGCGCAATAGCAGCTGGCTACAGGCAGGCAAAATCTGATATGTTTCAAGCTTGCATGCGTGGGCTTTGAAATCTGTTCCCATGACCCCTTCTCATCGCCTACGGCACTGACTTCGCTCTACCAACTTCTCTGCCTGTCCTATGCTGTGAAGGCCGGAGGAGGTTTATTGCCCTTCCGCTGTTGCATGTCGAGTTCCGATGCTGCGATCTCTAAACCTGAGAAGTCCTCTCTAGCCTCGGGCACTGCTGGCGGAGACGCCGATTACTTTTTTTCGGACTGCTGGCGAACCTCCCTTGTTCGGCATTGCGGCTCTTTCTCCATCCTACATTCCACTCCTACCTCCGACCGTTATTTCAACGAGCTTCTTCATTTTTTTCTGGGCCGCCCTGCTTTCCCGCGTGGGCTATGGCGGCTCACGGGAGACGTGTCGCGCTCAGATTGGTTGTGCGTTTACAGCCCCGGACGGGCTCCTAGGCTCGTGACTGCCTGAAAGTCGTGAATGTAACTAGGTCGAGGACGGGGGCACAGAGGCCGATGACAAGGAAGATGATGGACAAGGACTATCGAGATGAGGACGCGACATGGTCAAGACTGGCGAGGTGTGTATGACCGTTAATTGTGGGATGCTTTTATCCTGATTCATAATCTAGTACTGTAGAACTGGGCATTCGAACTCTGACCTCTTCTGTAATTTGGTGCTCTGGATAGATACGAATTGTTTCTCACTGGCATCCTTTACCGTATCACGCTCTTGCACAGATTAACTGATGATATCGTAAGCATTGAACATGCTGTAAGTATCGGACGAAGGTATGCATTAATGGGGTAGTGGTAACCTGGGTCGTTGCCACAAATGAGTCTCATAAGTTTGTCTCGACCCGCCGGGGGTTCGATTCCCCCTTAATGCATCTCTCATCCATTCTGCAACTTTTTGAGCACTCGTACAAAACTTTTGTAGATGAAAGAGACTGCCCAGTCAACTGCTTTTATTGAATTCACATATGATAAATTAAACATTGATAAAAATGTCTGGGATATGCAAGCAATTAGATACTCCTTTCCTTTGTTTACTTTCTTCCTTTACTGCTTTCCTTGGCTGTCGCAGGTATCTACATGGTTATATATAGCAAATAGAACAGACTCGGAGATGAAGCCTAGGAAGTGTAAGAAATTGACGAAAGTAAAGAAATCGCGACAAAAGTATATGGCATGCGCAGCGGCTGAACAACACAACGGCGAACGCCAGAATATCGGTTATTATCACACACGCTACCGCTAAGTTGAGGAGCATTCGCGAAAGCGCAAAAATATGTATGGCGCCAAATGAATACATTCTACGGTAGGGAGCATCCATTCTGATTCTAGTATTCGTCCTTCTCCAGAATATTATAATTCGCAATTACACTGCACCGAGTGCCCGTTCTGGTTCATTTGCCATTCATGCACTCAAAAAGAACTTGAAGAAGCGGCGAATTTCTTCCCAAGCCCGCTTCCGCTCAACAACAGCCTTGCCTTCACCTAGCACAGATTTGTTCTCGATCGCTCTACGGCTCAAGTAGGGCATCACCTGCAAGAAAAATTTATACGCTCAGGAAGCGTTCGGAGTTCAGAAGGAAAACCGCACACAATACTCCATATGGGACGTACTTTACCACTAACGGTGATTGGGTATGGGTTTTCTCCACCAACGATGCACTCAGAGCATCACTCACACCTTCGTCGAAAAAGTCAGGAGCAAATACAGTGATAGGGAGCAACCCCTTCACCGTAGAGCTGTGCTATGGTCACTCTGTCCGTCACCTTTGAAGGGATCACTATACTACCTGTTTGTGTGCTGTCTGCCAAACCGTGCTTGATCATCTCCTCTAGTACGATCTCGCAACTCTGGGGATTGTGTGTGCCAAACATGACACCTATGTGCGGATACTGGGCACCTGGGCCTACTATATCCTGACGCAAGGTGGATACCGGGATTTGTATGCAGTCATTGTAGCACTGATCTGCCTCCGACTTTGAGCCCCATATTATAAGTGTATAAGTATGCTTTCAACGAGACAAGCCCGTTGGATGGAATACATCCAATAACAGAAGGTTTATGGATAGTCAGTAGAGCGTCTGCTCCCAGCATACGTACAATAATTGTTCTTCTTCACCAGAATACCATCGACCAGCAATCATGCCTTCAAACCTGTCAAAATATCCTTCACAACTGCAAGATCCCTCATTACGTCCACTCTCCAGCTGCTTACGGCAAGTCGAGCAGCCTTTTGGCCATTCCATGTGGTGCCACTAACATACATACACCTCGTCTCGTTGATTTTCTGAACAAGAACATCATTCAACTTGGCATGCTTTGCTCTGAACAATACGATGATGTGTGTGCTGTCCAGTGATGCCTCTTGAGACGGAAGCAACTCATATCCTTCTGAAATTTTGATGAAATCAGCAATGCCCCGGGCAAGGCGTACCATTCGGGACAACATTTCAACTATTCCCTCTCTTCCTTCGCTTAAAAGAGTGGCGTAGACTGGTAGTGCTCGAAAACGCCGGGAATTCTCAATCCCGATATTTAATGGGCTGAGGATTTGAGTGGTCTGTGACGATAGGTAGGCAGCATTCAAATTTGAGAAGACTTGAGTTTGAATGGATGATGATCGGCAGAAGAAGATCCCTGTATCGTAAGGCTTCATTGAATGAGGATGAGCTCAATGGACGATTCTGTTGAAAGGACCACTCACAACATTCAACATCTTATGACCGTCAACAGTGATGCTATCGGCTAGTTCTAACCCAGCGGATTGGGCATGAAGGTACGAGAATTCTTCAGTCTTCGGGAGTGCACGAGCGAATGCACCAAAGGCTATAAAAGTTTCAAAAGAAGACTTTTTGACGATTCCTCAGCACTCACCTCCATCGACGTGAATCCAGGCTTTATGACGATCAGCCAGGTTTCTGAGCTTGCGCATTTCAACAGCATTCGTTGCAAATCTTCCAGTGTTGACTTCTCCTGCACTCACAGCGATGATGCTGGCGACACCATCCTTAGCCAACTCATCCTCAACGGCGTCAATATCAAGCCGCCAAGGCTCCTCCTTGCTGACAGGGAGCTCCTTGATAGATGAATGACCGAGCCCCACCACGCTGGCTGCCTTAGTCAGCGAGCTATGTCCCATACTGGTAAGAATTTGAAGTTGTCGCACTCCTGCTGATTGACACGCAGCCAGTATTCCTACCTCTGCAACAGTGTTTCTTGCGTTCTCGGGTTGTAGACGCATGGCAATAACCGCCTCCCGACCACAGGCAAGTCCCATGATATTACTCGCAGTAGCACCAGTCGTAAATGTCCGACCAGGCCAATCTTCCGGAACACCGAGATCCAGTAAAGATACCAACATTTTCAGCGCTGCATCTTCGACCACCGTGCTTGCGGTTTCATTTGGTAGATGCATTTGGACATTTTGGTCCAGTGCAGAAACGATGTTGTCAGCTGCTTCCGCAATGGGTAGGGTTCCTCCTGTGACAAATCCAAAGTAACGACTGCTCAGAGCCTGCCCGTTCAGAGCCGGCAGGATAGTAGTCAGCAAATAGTCCAAAGTTGCATCCGGTCCATGTGCTGCGAGATAGCCGACGTTGCCGAACTGTGGAATCGATGCTATGGCGGCGGCGAGAGATTCGGAGTGTGGAAGTGTACTATCATCGCGACTCGCAAGTGCGTTTCGGAGACGGGAGTAAGCTTGCTCTATGAAGCGGGAGTCAGCCATAGTGGTGGGAAAGATTCAAGAGTGCTTAGATTCAGGGGCGCAGCACTTCTTTAACGCTTTAACCCGGGTTTGGGCCCTCTGTAGATCCGGCACATTCTCATATACTTGAGCGACGATGATAGAAGAACCAGGAAAGCCGGGATGTATCCTGACCTGAACCGAGTCAGACCCAGACCTGTAACAATTCCCTTAAGCACGCAAACCAACATCAAATTTTCAGATTCACGGCTTCACTGAGTATTTGTAAGTCGGGACGAGCCGAAAGATAGCTGAGGCCGTTAAGACTTTCAGTTTCAGTGATGTTTTGCGATTTATTAGATCTCCTTGTTTGTTAACTGACCTAAGTTGGAACTAGGTATGTCGGGCTATTTAGCAACTAAGCAATTTTAGCTAGAGAGTTCAACCAGTGGATGGCGGGCCGGTCCATCGCGGTCTGGCGACGGCCCTTCGGCACTGGAACGGCAGACCGGAAGTTTCAGCGGCGCTGCAATGTCCGTTTCGAGTAGGATATACCCCGTAAATGAGTTGCAAAGCTCCTCTTTGGTCGCAAATTAGACCAAAATCCCCGTGCCAATGCCCTTGGACGATAACTGAAGATCGAAATCTGGGAATATATACATACACCCTTTCTCCATCTTTAAGCAGGATCAAGCCAAAAATGCGACGAGTAACTGGTATAAGATGGATTAAAATGCGCTATCCCAGAGTTTACGGCGGCGATATACGATGTCAGATATTGCTACAGCTAGAATATTACCTCAATAATTACGGTATTTCACCTCGCCTATGCATTATCGAACGGAGAAAACGTCGTTTTCTTCCCATTGAATATTCCTTTTATAAACTCCAGTGCCATTCTGCGTTTACTCGTACTACTGTCTTCACCCTGACTGCCGCCAATAGGACCAAAATACCAAGGTGGCGCTGATTGCCCATCAAATGGAATATAGGGTCCATACACTCGCAAGATTGGATGATTGACGCTGTGCGTATGTGACTCGTTTTCCTGTTGTACTTCGTCACCTGTAACGGGGCTAGCTTTTGCAGGTGGAATGGGGCGATCGCGAAGTTCACAGTCGGCACAAGCGACGACATATTTTTGCCTAGTCGGGTCGGCTAGAATGAATTTGGTTTAGAATTCCAAAAATCAAAATTTTACATTCTTTGTAATGAAACTTACAACAAACCACGCAGCTCCAGTATGTCTCTATCATGAGGTCGACTGTCCTATTGCACGAAACACATCGTGGCTGGATCAAAATTGTATCTTCGACTGAAAATCGGCTCTCTGGGTCCATTTTCTCCGATTCGCCCACAGCCGTTTCATCCGTAGCTGAATTAGCATTTTGAGAAGCTGCCGACACAGTACGTGATCGGGGTAATCCTAGCCAGGCCACAGTCGGAGAACTTGCATGTCGTCTGTGTTGGCTGCGATGGCCTGATCTAGATGAGGGGGAACGCAATGCGTTCAGCGAAAAGCGTACTCGCTTGGGCCCGGGAAAATCGGAACGATCGGAAACGCTGCTCGATTCGGAGTTGGGGTTCAATGGCCCGCGCATTGGCGGTGATGCAGCAAGTGGAATTACAGGTGGCTCAAGCGCTGGAGTAAATGGTGGATCGCCAGGTTGAGGTACAGACATAGAGGGGTATAATGATGGTCGGGCACAGAGCGCCCAGATGCGGTTTGATAAGTGGAGCGTATCTCTCGGGTGGTTGAAGCACCTCATTTTGAGGTAGGAGTGCTTGAATATTTCCTCTTTGTCATGCTCATGTCGGCAATTGGAGCAGAACTCGATTGAGGATCCATCGGAGTTTGATGAACAGGTGTAACAGTAGTAACGACTTCCCAGAATGACGCCATGGCAAATGGAGCAGAAACAGCCGCTGAAAAAAACAATGAGCAATCTATTCACCAAGAGAAAACTTGGAATCTCTCTGACTAGTGTATAGTTCCCCAATCAAATCGTGTACGAGCGACCGAACGATAAAATCTCCAGTTCCAAGGTGTGACAGTCAAAAGAAGTTTATTGACTTCCTCCCGGTCTCTTGTACTCATTAACTGAGTATCTGGAAGCAGATATAAGCATCGGGAAAGTTCCGCTCCCTTCTTTAGTTGAGCTAGCATTTCCCGAACAGTTTCTGTGCGAAAGAGACCTTTTTGTGTGCACACTTGATGCAGCACGGCGTTGCACGCGAAGCTCCACAGGGATCGTGCCCGTGCAGGATGCCCAGACTCAACAATTCTAGACCTGAAATGATAGGCCCATGCAGGCGTTTGACCGAGATAGAAAGCGCCGTGAACCTTTGACTTGTCCGAGGAATATCCCCATTCTCCAGAGATTGTGTATTGAGGAGGTAGCGATCGCGCAGTCTGGATTAAAAAATATCTGAGTCTTTAACAGTATATAGCTCAATGCGTCACATACCGTGCTCTTGCCGGAGAAATGGCGTACAATACTCAATGTACCTCGTAAAAAGATCCTGAATTCTAAATCCTTCTGGTAATCCGGTTTAGCTATTAGGAGCGCGTCCAGAGTACCCTGCTGTCGATGGATCTCTATTGTGCCACTGATGAAAATGGTCCCTTGAGAGTAGCTACCATTACCCTTGAAAACACCATCCGAAAAGTTCCATGTATGCACTCTGAAATCAATCAGTCCATGGGCGGAAACGTGATTTTCATCGAACAAATGGCCATTCCAAAATCCCTCTACCCCTGTGATATGGTCTTTCAGCCTGAACGGACGTATCGTTTCTTCTGGTGTGTCGACGATTCTCGGCGGAGGGTACTTGAGTTGTATAACGGAATCAAAATCCGACATGTTCGCCTCCAACTCTTTGGGGATGTCGTAATCAAGGGCAACGGGATAGTAGGGATTTTGCCCTTGAAATAAGGCGGAGTACTAGGGAAATCTAGGTCAGTGTATGGTTCATTCCAGTCTCTGATAAACCTTCACCGTGCCATAAGCAAATGACTGCAGTCGCTGCTCAACCAAGTACGGCGAACTCAAATCATTCGAGAATAGCCCTGCAAACGTGGTGAGATATGTTGTGATGCAACGTATCAAATTTCCGCATACAGTGAAGTACTTGGATTCGGATATAGATTGCATCGAAAATTTGTTGTAACGTTTGCTCAGCCGTAAGGAACTCTTCGCGATCAAACACGGAATGCAGTCCGGTACGGATAACCATTAGATGATGCTTCAGTAACAAGTAGATGAGCGGAAGGAGATTCTGTTCACTCATCCAAGATCAGTACAACGATATCTCATGGGTTCTATGTGCTCACCCTTTCAATCTGAGACTCTCCAATAATTAAGCGGAGGGTGTCTGGACCATCTATTTCGTAGTTCAAGGCCCGCAGCTTTTGCTCCATCATGTCTTCCTCTGTCCGTGCATAAGCTGCGATCTTCTCAGCAAGGAGACCATTCGGTTCTTCTGTGTAGGGTTGAACCTGGCAGAGAATTTGATCAACGATGCTTGACATGGTGAGATAGTGGTCGACGACAGCCCTGTTCGTTGGTAGAAGATCTTCCAAAGATTTATGCATGCCGAGTATTATAGCCCCGATCTTTCGTCGATATTGCCAAATTGTAAAATGGCGACCTCGACAGAATAGTTGGCACAGAGATAACATCTTATGAAAAGCACTTACCAGCTGCCCAGTACGCAAGCCATTGCAAGAAACTGATACAATCAATCAAACCGTTGGAGACTTGTGATATCGACGTTATACGACATACCTCCAATCCTTCGGACGCAAGGAAGCGACTTGATTAGCCTCCCAGACGCTAACAAAACCGCTGGCGTCGCCATCGAATACCTCACCCAACGGGATGATATTTCTGATGTTGATATGCTTCAAAGCCCACTTTTCTGCTGCCCGCTGTTTGGCGACAGAAAAGGCTCGCCTAAGCGCAATTGTTTGATCTTCCGGAGTCGATCCAGGCGAGAGGTGTGTAAAATAATCATCCAATATGCTGGGGTCGTTCGCTTGAGCCACATAGTAGTCGTGAAGCGTATGTACAAATTCCTGCACCGGCACACCCAATTTCCAGCCCTGTGCGAACACCGTGTATAAGTAAAAAATCTAAATGTACCTTTATTTCGACTGTACCATTTCTTTCCATATCTCTCGCAGTTCCTGATTGTATTATTTCGCATATGAGAGTCCAACGGTCGATGCCAAATATGCTTACCGGATCATGAATTCTATTGTGAGGGCCTTTATGTACCTCATCAACGATCCTGTTGCCCTGGCGAACGACTGTGTCTTCAATTTGCTGCAACTGCCGTCGCTGTTCATCCAACTTTCTCCGAAAAACCACCATGTTCTTCTTTAGGTCGCTATCAATGTCAACTTGTAACTCTTCCTTCAAATCGTTGATGACGTGTTGCGGAGGATCTGACCGACTCAATCGTTCGGTCGTTGGACTCCCATCGGCGCTTTCCGCATCTTGTGTGCGCGAGGCGTAATGCTTTGCAGAAACCGCACTATATGATCTCGAAGATTGTTCTCTCGGAGTGTAGTCGGGATACCCTTGTGACCCATACCTATAACCTGGACGAGAGTATGCGTAAGAGCCTGGGGGTGGGAGCGGAGTGGGAATAGACGTAGAAGGGTAATAGTTTGGCTGAGGAGAGGCCGGTCGACTGACACGTGAGGTAGGAATTGCGTAGTAATTAGGTTGTGTCGGGATGGGTGGCGGCGGTGGTATATGGCTTTCGCTTCTGCGACGGGACCTCGAGGGACTTGGGTTGATGGTGTAGGAAGGAGACGGCCGAATTTGTGAATATTCTGCCTGGTTAGAAGCCATGCTTCGAGCTCGCACAGAATAGTGCGGGCTAGGATTGACACCAGGATATTGTTGATTGGGAATAGCCGCCTCCTCTGGTGGAGGATCGGAACTGAAGTCATTTAGGTTCTATGAGTATCATCCAACGTTTACGATCTCACTCACCCATACGAATCGACCTTAATCAACTCACTCAACGCAGAATCATCCTGAGCACATTTTTCCAGCCCTCCTTTTTCCTCGATAACTTTCCATAGCTCTTGTTCGAGCGGACTCTGCGTACGCAGTTTCTCAAAAATAAACCGGATCGACTCATGAATCGATTCCAAAACCTCTTGATTCTTCTCCAGGACAGAGAAAGCTGAGTGAATTTTGTGAGCGGTGAACATGCTCAAGGCTGTGTGCAGCTCGGTACGTCGGTCAACAAAAGTATCGATGTATCCGGCAAATCGACCTTCGTAGATTGGACTTTTGAGAAGCTTGACTAATGATGAAAATGGACATGAGGGATGAAACTCAGGTAAGATGGCAAGGGATAATACATACCAAGTAATCGTTTTTTCGAATAGGTATCGCAGAGATTTGCACAAGACCAGATATCATCCGAGATTCGGGTACAAAGCTTCTTCAAACTTTCCGCAACCGTGAATCCTCGATTTGGCTCTTTCTGGTCAGGAGAGATGACTCGAAGTCTTTGAGATTATGCAGGGTTCTATATAAGCCGACAGTTTGATTATCTTCGCTTTCGTGCACTCACTGTACGAATATTTCCATCATATCTTGCATCTTGACTTGCAAAACCAATACCTTTTGATCGTTATCCCGGCGTTTAAGCTCCAGGGCGACCACTGCCTTAAATGCCAGTACTACGACGTCTATTTCCGGACCGAGTAAATCTCGTGAAAACTAGTGAGTACACCCGACAAACCTATAACAGGATGTATCTTTCGCACGTCGTCAAGGATATCCATCAAGACTTGACTGGATGTAGCAAAATCCTGAATTTTTTCTTCGATAGCTTTCACCTCTGCAGACGAAGCCAGTCTTTGTTTAGTTTTGGAAATGGCATCTTGGTTGTTGGATTTAAAATCTGAAGCCGCTTGATAGGCAGCGGTAATATCTCCAGTACGATCTTTGAAATGTTGTGCTTCAGTTTCAGTTGCTTTTAACAATCAGACGCGCAATGCGCAACTTCGGACGCGCTTACAATGGCGCGCCGAGCATGGATAAGTAACAAGTAAATGTTAACCTACCTTGCGACGATTCCTGTTCGCGAGACTTTGTGGTCCCCTTCTGAGTTTTGGCACGTTCAGATGCCCCTCTGCGATTTTGACTGACAGAATGACCTGTACTGGGGTTTGAAGGCATGAGAAGATGGGTGTCAGGTTCGCGACTGTCCTTTTATAGGGCCGAGGCGGTGAGATTTTGATTTCTATTCAACCCGAGGGATTCAGGTTCATCTAAATTGAATTGATTGATGGCTAACCGAGCCTCCTGGGGACATGCTTGCAAGGACTCGCAGGTCATCGCGACCACATACTGAAGGTCAGCAGAGTCACAGCCTTCTTATCTCAGGTGGTAGAGCGTTCAACTCGTATGGAAGGCAATGGAAAGGTCGCTAGCTCTGAATCGAATCTGGTGGGAGGCATGAACGGGTTTACGACATCACTTTTTCCTCTCCCAGTTTCTCTAAATGATTCGAGACAAACTCACATCCACATGCTTTCAAACTTCCCCAAAATCCTATATGCAGCAACCAGTACCTCGAGCAGAGTGGTCTATGAGTGAAAGTATACCTCGTGGATGATAATTCTCAATTCAGTGTCATACGTTAGGGGTGAGCCGCAGGCAGTAAGGACCTAACCGCGGCCGTTTCGCTACTGAGCACATATACCAAATACAACTCAATTATCCGATAGCAAGGGAAATATGGAATGTTGTGTAGGATTGAGCCACGACATTCATAATTCCTGACGTCGTGACCGTATAAACCGCCCTTGAACGGAATCAGCATCCGCAAGCGATGTTTCGGGCGCTCTAAAGCGGATGAATACGAATCGTATCGTAGCCCAAAGCGACGAAGATGCACCGGAAAGGGTAATTGACAGTCCAACTCCAGACGGGCACTGTAGCGAGAAGGAAAGCTTACTCATCACAAGCACAACGCCGTGCGGCGTAGACGATTTCGCCGATTCTTTGGAGTGGAAGATGCTAAAGCTGAGGTAGAATCATAGACCTAGAAAGCCTTGATGACCGTCATTGCCGGCATAGCCTACTAGCAGGAAATGGTAAACGATGAACGTTTCATGATCCAGACGCCAAGGGCAAATTCCAGAGCACAGATTAAAAACGCCGCTGAAGCGTACTAGAGAAGCTTACGAGGTAGCGTCTGAAGCTAAACACAATATCAAAGGCACAATATCAGGATAAATAGACAATGGACGGCGAGATAGAATACATAGAAGTTACAAAACAACAATCAATAAAGATAGAGGAACTCAGTTGGACGCTAGGAGCGGAAAATTAGTAATTGCGAAAGATGAGAAACGTTAGGCACTCACCAGCAGCTTTAAGCACCGAAACCATACAGAGTACGACCAGACCGCTTCAAAGCGTATACAACATCGAGAGCAGTGACAGTTTTACTGTGGCCTCCAGTCAGCAGAGCGCGAGAACGAGCAAGAATGAAATTAACCGTTTAGCGTGTTCAGTGTATGTGACAGAGTCACGGATTACGTTCTCGAGGAAGATCTTAAGGACACCACGAGTCTCTTCATAAATGAGCCCAGAGATACGCTTGACACCTCCACGACGGGCGAGACGACGAATAGCGGGTTTGGTGATTCCTGAAAGTCATTAAGCCACGACAAAAGACTGTTCTCAAAAAGTGACAGACCTTGAATGTTGTCACGAAGAATTTTACGGTGACGCTTAGCACCTCCCTTTCCGAGACCCTGTAGAGGATCTGTTGAGCAACTAAAAAGCGGACATTTAGCAAGAGGAACATACCTTTCCACCTTTTCCACGGCCAGACATTTGGATAAGTCTTGAGGTAAAGTCGTTAACTTGAGATGGTGGTGGTTGTGAATGAAGCCGATATGGTGGGAAAGATGAACGGATTGGGAAGAACAGGGCTATGGGCCAAATAGAGCCAAACTTCACGAACGCGTCAGCACGTGATGTGCAGCTAGGGGTTCCCTTTTGTACGCGTTACAGACTGTCAAATTGAAGGATCGATGGGAGACTTCAGGGTTTTTTGTTTCCGCGAAACCAAACATAATCTCTCTGCCAAAGGATTCTTTGGATTACACTGTCAAAATAGGCTTAATTCTACCCGATGCTTATAACGTTGGCGTTTTACAATAGTACGCTCCATCCTTTGAACTATAAAAGACATACCAGCTAAGAGGTTGAGCATCTACATGAAAACAAGGTAGGCTCGTCAGTTCGGACATTTGAAAAATCCACATACCGGAAATGGTCCAATTCCCTCGTGCAGTTACTATATGTTGGAAAGCATGTTCTTGTTCTGCATTGTTATAAACAGAGTCAATCATAGATACCGTAGAAAGAAGGGAAAAGTACAACAGCTTGAGCTGGTAAATTCCAGCCGAAAATGCACAATTCAGCCAGCTTTTTTGTGCTCATTTCAAAGGCTAGAGCAACGCAAAACAAGTCTACACTTTCTGACATTGCACCAAGACTTGAGACTCGAATCCCAGTGACGTTTCTATTCATAAAGTGTTCCTCCATTCCTCAATATCCGCAAAGCTGTCTCTAGGCCCTCCCCGTTGAGAATACTCCTCTGTATCCAGGTCAAATGTCTCATCTATGTCAGGGTCATACCACGGCGAGATCATTTTAACAACATCCAGGGGATCGTAGACTTCAAAAACTGCCCGATTTGTCCAAGATGGATTATCCTTTGGCACTCCTGGCTTATCATGCCGTTCATCCTTCCTAAGATTCCGCTGTTTCGCCCGCTCATCTCGGACCTTCGGGTCTGTGGTTACAGACCGATCAAAGGAGGAGGTGGCCTTGGCAGGACGAGAGGGAGGAATACGCCTTTCAAGCCCCTTACCCCACTTTACAAGAGCAGACGCACCGTAGCGATAGTGGAGCAGGAAGGCAGAAGGACGAAGTAATGGATCGTGATATGGTTTGAATGCAGCGTCGGTGTTGTTCGGCATGTAGTCGGTCTCAAACGCAGGATCGTCATCCAGATACTGGAGAGTATACCGGACATCACTGGGATAAGATGCGCTATTGAGACTCCGGGAGGGTGCAGGCGGTACATCGTTCATATCAAGAATATGATTTGGGGTCTGTTAAGGGATGAGTATTGAGCATTGGGAGAGAAGCAAAGATATGACCTTTAAGACACCGCAAATATTCTGATCGAGTAGCGGGTGAAGTCGGACTTCACCACAGAACCCATTTCTAGGGTCATCTATATCACTTAAATCTTGTACACCTTCACCGTCCTCGAAATCTCTACGCATGGCGATGAGATGTAGCAACCACTATAACGTACAGTTAGTGAAGGAGATCGCTCCACGACACAAACCTTTGCATACTGGAGTTCCTCTCGCATGGGCTACAATATGCATTACTTGCGTGAACAACTTTGAGGTGCTATTGAAGAGGGATACCGCGTCTCGCGCCATTATCGGATCAGCAAAGGAGTTTAGGCAAGAAGACTCGCTCCCGCCGTCCCGGATACGTTGCCAGACCACCTCAACGTCAGCTCGACGCTTGGCAAGATCCTGGGCAGTAATTTCCATGGCTGAAGGCAATGCTGAGGAAGGGGAATGAAGCAGTAACAGATTTGGATCACCCACAGTAGTGAAAGATATAAATGCCACGATCTTCGAGTGGTGCGTCATCGGCAAGTAACGTACTAGGTGAGTGAACGATAGCACCGTCAAGAGCGAGGATGGCGTAGGCGAGAAAACGAAGATATTTGCAAGGCTTCAGACATAACTTTTGGATCCGCTCTAGAGGTATTTCTAGAAAGAGTGCATCCGGATCGTCTGGAGAGGATTCGAGGAATAACCAGACGTGACCGGGGGGAGGAGAATCTGGCGAGGAAGACATCATAGTGGTAACAGTCAAGTCACGAATTTGTCACGAGATGTGTAGCTAGCTTTCTCTCGCGCGCGCGTCGTGAAGTCCTTTTGCAAGTGTTATGCTTATTTACTGTCAAAAGATCCACGGGAAAGTCATTCATGGACTTTGTCATCGCGAAACTCAACATACTCCTTTGTGAAAAGGTTCTGTGGATTACGCAGAAACAAAGAACCCTTTCATCAAGAAGCGTTTTCGTAAACATAAAGGCAGCGTTTTTCTGACGTCGATTTAAACGTGCACTCTTCTACCCAGTTACCTCCACTCTGCCACTCTACTTGAATATTGACTATGGGACAAGTGATTTCCAGTGTCGTTAACCCACAGCCTTCGTCCTACGAACTCTCGCTTCTTGATCGAATCGTTCTGTTATCCAACGAGATCGAAAAAACGCCGTCTACAGACTCGGAGCGAGTAGGGATTTTACTATGCCACAGAGGCGAGACATTAAGGAAGCTCGGATTCGAATACCTTCGGAAGGCTCAGCGAGGTGAGATACACTTTCTTCATTTAAGCCTGATGTCTTCCCTCAAATTGCCTTTGTTTCCTCAGACATCGTCGATGGCTCCGTTCTTGACTCGGACCTCGAGTATACTGAGGCTTGTGAGGAAATTTTCGCTCAGACGCTCGAAGTGCTTCGTGAGCTTGACTGCGTGTGCCGCGAGATTCCCTTACCGCCGGAGCCTGAATCACTCGAGCACGGACCCAAACCTGGAACATTGATTATGGTCAGGGAGATCGAGTGGCTTGAGTTACTGAGGATGGTATGTACGATTGATTTGGCTCTACTCTTTGGCTCTAATTGATATTGCATCCATAGATCGTCTTTGGATTGTTTTGCCAAATTGCGAGCCCTATCTGGTGGCTGATTACGCTTCTTTCCGTAGTACTCATCTGCATACTATCTTCCTCCGCCTTGCTGTTACTATTGCTCTGCTCGGTCAAATCCTCGCAAGCGATGTCATAATACTATCAATGTTTGTATTCGAACCTTTTGTACTCTAAGGATGGAGGGGTGTTATTCTGCGGATTGATTACATCGCGTAACTGCTACATAGTCTATGCTACGCTGTTCTATAGAAAATCATTCTAGTCATGAGGGCATATCTATAAAAATTTCAGTTGCCTGGTCCGTCGCTCAGCATTTGGCCTCGCTCCGAATAAACACCACTCACCGGTTGAGGCAAAGTACTCGATTTTATCCGTCGGAGTGGCTTTGATAGTCTTACCACCCTCAGACCTGTAGATGAGATAAAAAGGTTAGCAAGACATATGTCACGGTATATTTGTAGGAAATTATGCTGACCATCCCGCAGGGCAGACTTCTCCGTATTTGTCCTATAAAAGGAAGATTGAACAGTGAGATTGCTGTCCTTTCGTATATCTGGACCATGCACGTACAGTAAACTGGAAAGCCTTGACAAGACGGAGAGTCTCTTCAACAGAACGACCGACCGGGAGGTCGTTGACAGTTATTTGTCTTTGAACGACTTTCCTATCAGTGACGCAAACGGCAAGACC